TGTGGTTTCCCTTCAATAAAGTGAAGTCATCATTGCAACAGTAATCCAACACCTGAAAAGCAGCCTTTCATACCAGCTGTAAGCCCCCTTTTTTGCCCCTTGTTTGATGTTTTCTATCCAGGCAGAAAGAGGAAGTGATAAAGTTGTTGCAAGATGGCAACAACAAAGGTCTTCATCTTGTTCTAACAAAGAGAAATGATGCACAAAGAGGTACTTGTGAGACACCTTCGGCCTGATATGTTGTTTAACTGTGACCACTCTGTGAAAATGTATTTGAAAATCCACATCAGAGAAAATGTTTGGGTTACTTGCTCATGTTTAGAAAGATCTCTGATAAAGAGGGAAAATGATTCACCGGTTTGGAGGTGATCATATGATTGGGAGTGGTTCAGAGGACTGAAGGTGAAAAATCTTTAAACCCTTGAGGTCAGCTTTCTCATCTTTCACACTGATAAAATGATGTCCAAAAGGATGTGGAAAGTCTGATTTCCTTTCTTAAATGGGTGTGTGGCAGCTTGGAGGCCAGCCAGGGGTCAATTTTAGACATGAGTAATGAGTTTAGGATTGTTAGGTTGCACCATGATATGACCAGATTAACTTGCTAAGCAGCCAAGGGTAAGACCTCATCAGTGCACTCCAGTATACATTTCTATTGTATTATTGATTTCACTGCTTCTGCAAGCAGCCACAAGTCAATCAAAAAGGATGAACTGAGTAAATGTAGTGTTATGGTACTATCCATCTTATGTTGTACCATTTAAATGTGCTCTTTTTACTCAAGAAATGTATTTATATGGTTTAAGTTTAAAAGTCAGCAAAAGCTATTTTGTGGATATTTACTAGTACCAATAGCAAAATCTTAAATCACAAAAATTTTGCTTGAAATTTTTGTGATTTAAGTAATTGATGGATTTCGTTGTTGGTTCAATGTTTTGTTTTGTTTTTTTCCGGTGGAGGCTTCATACAAGCCTATTGGACTTTTTGCCTCTCCCTGCACTGTCATTATTTTTTTCTTCTTTCAACTGATTTGTATTTTTTTACTGTGCAAATAAACTAAACTAAACTAAACTAAACTAAACTAAACTAAACTAAACTAAACTAAACTAAACTAAACTAGAGCATCTATGAATGTGATTTTGAAGTTAAATCAACTGCAAGTAAAAACGAACAAGTCACTTTAAAATACATCCCAGCCCAGTCTCCACAGGTACTAACAGAACTAAATTCTTACAATAGATCCTCTATTAGCTGTTCCCTCTTCAGATGTCGTCATAGAAAGACATCATCCTACATTTCACTCTGCATCCTCTGTCCTTACTCCATCTACCACTGCGTCCTCTTTGCCTTTTCCTGGCAGCTGCATCACTAACATCCTTCTACCAATACGCCCACTGTACCCCCTCTGGACATGTCCAAACCATCTCAATCTGGTCTCTAATGTTATCTCCCAGTTGTTCCACCTGCGCTGAACCTTTGATGATCTCCTTACTAATCTTCTCCATCCTCGTCACTCTTGAGGAGAACTTCAACATCTTCATCTCTGACACTTCCAGCTCTGTCTCCTGTCTCATTGTCACGGTCTACAAACCCTACAACAAAGCTGGTCTCTTGCTTGCCCCCTTTTTGTCACAAATCACTTCTGAAACAGTTTTGTTCCAGGCTGCCTCCGTCTCAGTCACACATGTATTCTGTCTTACCACGACTGACTTTAATTAATTTGCTTTCAGGTGCGTACGCCCACCTCTTCAAGCTCTCTTCCATCTACAAACATCATAGTCCACGTAGATTCCTGCCTGACCTCATCTGGTCTGTCCATCACCAGAGCAAAGAGAAGTGGTACAGTCTTGATCCTTGATGCAGTCCTCGCTCCGTCTTGAATCTGTCACTCGTGCTTGTCCTGTACCAGTCCTTCCTAAAATATAATATAATGCAACTTCTCATGCTATATGCATAAACTCTTAGAAGTGTTATTAAGCATCATGGCTGTTGATAACACAGTTATATAATAAAAGCAGCATTATGGTATCAACATCATAATAATTCCTGTTAGATGTTTTCTGAGTTTCAGACAGGCTAAACTTTGTCTATAGGTTAATACAGCCTTTGTTAGAGCTCAAATGTAACCCAGTTTGACTGAGAAGGTGTGTCCCATCAGTAAATGATGAAGATGTATCTGATCTGTGGGTGTGTAGACCCGCAGTAGATGTTTGACAAAGATAGTGAAGTCCAGATAATAAGTGGAAAGTGTAAGAACACCCAGTCACCTACTGTGCTGCACATGCAGCCCTTCATTCCCGGTTACACCCATCGTATGCGCGAGAGATCGACCCCGTCCACGTCGCCGCCCAAGCTGCTCACTTCGTAGGGCAAGAAAAAGGTCTCGACTTTGCTTGGCTTGATGCAAGCAGCAGAATCATGAATTTAATTCTGAAATAACAGAATCCAGGATGTCCTGTGGTTAACCACTAAGGCGCAGAAATCGGATTGTCTTACCCCGAGGAAAACCTTCAGCTGTAATCCTGTCAGCACTGACAGATGGAATAGGGATGTTTGAGGAGATTTAAGGAAAACAATGGTGACTCCAGATGCCCTTTGCTGAGGAAAATTGTGTATTTACTTTGCTGGATTATTCCTTGATATCATATGCATGGTACTTTCACCGTGGTTACAATAAAAAGCTGATATTTGATTCTTTGGGTAACTTTAAGCCAAAATATTGACTTAAATGATACAATTGTCTTCAAGTGTTTGCTGAATTGCGATAATTATTACTGCAAGTGGTTAATAAAGCAGTGCATGCCTGTGTCACGCCTTACAATGAAACTACTTACGTGATTGGAGGTGCAAGCCCAGCCCCGACTTCACAATGAAGGCATCCTTAGAGATGGTCTGTGTTTACAGCTGGGTTGTCAGGGAGTCCTCCACATGCATGACAATAAGGAAAGGGATTATTTTCTTTGGCTGAGGAAGAAGGCTCTAATCAGATCACTGTGATGTGAACTCAGTTTTTCCTCCCCGCCACCCATCTCTCTTTATCCCTGTGTTGTTTTGGTTCACCTTTCACCTACTCTCTCTGTGTCCTTTCATTGAAGGAAATAAAAACATTGCACTACTTTGGACTAAATGTGCTCAGACGCTTTAACGAGTAGCTATCACATTACAATTATTGCTTTTTTTGTGTTTTTTTTTATTTCTACAGGTAAAATAAAAAAACGAAGTTAATAAAAGTCATTAAATATGAGTGGGGATAGCCCAGTGGAGTGATTTATGGTACAGTCCATCCTTTCGTGGGTTTATTCACTCTGGGAAGTATTGTACAGCTGGAGGATGAAGGCATGAGAGCTGAGGTAACCAAACTAAGTGGTGATGCATCCCTGCTCTGCGCTGTTCATTGTGTCAGGACGTGACAACCCCTCTGTGGACTGCAGGGTTTAGACTCAACAAAAAGATTAGTATTTTCTGACAAGGATAGTTTATGTTTCATGGTTTATTGTGGGAAGTGTGGATTTCAACACATCTTTCGTCACCTGTGGACAATGAGGAAAATGGCATTACATCATTTTTGTTATCTTCGGCTTTGTGGGACAAGTCAAAATAAAAGTGAAGCGTGTCTTTGATGCTTTTATCTTTTGCTCTTATTTTAACTGTAAGCAAGCAGTGAAGAGTTTATTCTCAGTCATTATGTTGTCATTTTCATGACTTCATCAGGCATTGATTGTATTAGGTTTTTTTATTTTTCTTCTTCTTTTTTTAATTATTCAAAACAAAAAAAATCTTACTTCAAGATCAGTACCAAAAATATTAGATTTTTAAGTAGAAAGCAAAAGCAAACTTAGTCACACAAAACATTTAAAACCATTTAAAATACAGTAAGATATTACTATTCTTTTAAGGTCTGCATGTGAAATCAGTGTTTTCTGTTTATGTTGGTATGAAACAAATGCCTTTTGGATGTTTTGTTTATGCCATTGACATAATGTAAAAGATTAGATTTAATGGTAGGCAATAAAAATTATTGTATTTGGTGGTTTGACTGGGTGATTGGGATCGTTAGCTGTGATTTGTTTACAGAATCAAGAAAGCGACATGTAAGACAAGTAACATAATTCTGTTTTATACAGTGCCTATTATAAAAGATAAGGCTGGCAAAATGAATTGCAATGATAAAAATCAGTTCCTAACTTTAGCCAGTACTTTGTCCAAATTATGGATTTAACAGGATGGAACTTTTTTTTATCTTGAATCCAGATAATCAGTTTGGTTTTAAATGTAAACATCGTACAGACATTTGTATTTTTACTTTAAATGTAGATTTTAGATTTGATAAAAACCATAATTCCACAATTTTTCTTGTTTCATGAATATTTTTAAAGCTTCTGCTAGTGTAGATTATTATTATTATTATTATTATTATTATTATTATTATTATTATTATTATAGTAAGTTACAAAACAGAAGAGTTCCTAAATCTTTTGTTTGATTTATATGATTTTGGTATATGCATCAGTCAATAAATGCATGTCCGCCTCTTTTAATAGCACCAATGTGACTGATGACATTAACAGCCTGTGCAGTCGTATGCACAAGTTAACATGCTGATAAATAAGTTCAGTATTTATTGTACCAGTTAGGATTGCTCAGTTTATTGTTGTACCTCTACACACACTGCCCATTTGTGGAGGTGCTACAATAAAAGCAGTCTGAGGAAACTCACTGCAGCATGTAATGACAGAATGAGGCTCTTGCTCAAGATGCCAAGATGTTATGCAAGCCAAATGTTTGGTATACCCAACTGCTCTGCTGTACTGTGCAATCTCATATACTGATATATGTGCAAGTTCATAACAACAAAATAGTTTTATCTCTGACGAACACTGCATTGAGTTCAGTACTCTAACATGGAACCACTAAAATCTAAGCCTTTGTGTAAATTTGTGAAAGTCTGGATGTTTTTGTTGTTTTACACGTGTCTTCATTAAAGTCATAAAGTGTGGCTTCTCAAAAGTTTTTTCATTTATTTACATATAGTTTGTGCAACGTAACAAGAGGTGATCCATTGTGGCTACAGTTTATGTCAGCTGTGATTTTTTATCTTTTTGCTCGGCTCCGTCAGAAGTGCATCTTTTGTTTCATCCCTCACAGTCTTCAGAAAGGTCATGATGCCAGACCCGCCGGTGCCCCTCTCCTCCAGTGCTTTGGGGGCTTTGATGACCGTCTCCCCCTCTGAGTCCTGGCTGTGGTTGCGGAGCTGTCGAGCTCGAGCCGCAGGCACAGTGATGAAACGGCTCACGACATTGATGTGGTAGTTGCGCAGGGCCAACAGCTTTGAGACACAGAACTCATAGGCCTGGTTCAGCTGATCGTTGGCCTGATGCTGCTGGACAAAACTCCTCAGGGACGGCTGCGACGAAATGTCCTGGATCAGCTGCCTGTGAGCAGGTGGCATGTAGTCCCTCATGCGGGTTAGAAAGGAACCTGGATAAATGGGATTGGCACAATATACACCATCACATTCATGTTCAGAATATTTGCTATTCCTGAATGTGAACTATCTTACGGCCTTTTTCTTCATGTTTGACTCCCAGGAGTTCATCAAAGCAGTGAAGCAGACTGCTTTGTGCAGCACTGCCTCCAGAAAACTCCATTGGTTTTGTGTGGACCCCTTCATAAACAAGACCCTTTGGCATACAGGGATTGTCTTTCCACCTAAGCATGGATAACTTATTTTGTTACATCTACAGAATAAAAGAAATACAATACATACAAGTCCGAAGTCAAATAAAAATAAAAACAAGTTTCTGTACCCAGACAGGTAGATTCTCATAATGCCATAGAAGACTGAAGGATCCACATGCACTGAAAGAAAAAAGTAATTAAACTACGTATATTTCAAAGTGAGTAAGTTTTATTATAAATCCTTGGACAGTCGACCCCCATTACCTTGCATCAACTTAAGTGCATCATTCATGTCCTGTATGGAGAGACTGATGTCCTCCAGGGCTCTGACCACTGCATCAGTGTCTCCACACCTGATACCATTGATAACAGAGGGAATGCTCTGCAGAACAGCAGCACAAGATCACTTTAAAAACCTTTTTGCAAACACTTTAATCACTTCTTCTTTTTCCTGTTTGCTTCCTGAATGTTCATCTTACAGTATGTGCCTCAGACTCCCCAACCCTCCATACATCCTCCTGCACAACCTGTACACTTAAATCTTTTCTGCTGTCTTCCTTTGTTCCTCCTTCCTGGCAGCTCCATGTTCAACATCATTTGACTAATAATTACTAGCTCTTCTTTGCACATCCAAACCATCTTTTCTTGTCTTTTTAACCATTAGACCCCATGATAGGTAAATTCATCTCTCTTCAATACCTCAACCCCTTGATGCTTCACTGTCCCACCTCGCTCCCTCTCATTCACACAAGTTCTTTCTCCCTTTTAGTGACTTTCATCCCTATTTCCTCCACCTCTCTTCCACCTGTTCCCTATTCTCACTGTCTCAGCATCATAAACCGTGTGGATTCCTGCGTGACCTCATCTGTCAACCTGTCATCACTGCAAGAAATGGCGTCAATTGCAGGTTTATTACAGTTATGTTTTCATATTTTGCTGTCATGCTGTATGATGTGTTTTTTTTTTACCCGTATTGCAGGAACTGCTGCAAGCTCCACCAGCAGCGTGGCCAAGAAGAAACCCCTGACACTCTCTCCACCCGGGAGGCTGACCAGCAACTCCAGGTTCCTGTGTTGCAAATGAAAGCAAAAGATGTTATAGAAATGAAAGGACTGTGGCAGAGTGCTGTTAGAGGATAAGAATGAAAATATACTCACTCCATGTCAAAAGGCCTGGCATGCGAGATATGATGATGAACATGCAAAAGAATTAATTTACTTGTTTATTATTCCATTTGAATTGAGATTAAAGTACTTGTAGAGCACTGATGGTCTCACCCCTCTGGATCTTTCTTCTTCCAGTTAGCCAGCACTGCACTCGCATGGGTCAAAATTGGGGGGAGTCCTAAGCGCTGTGACACCTCCCAGAATGGAACAGCCAGACTGCTTGGCAATTTCTTTAAAGAAGATGAATAAAAAAGAAGGAACTACTCGGACAAACTGAATGTTTTAGTGTACCTGCAGTAGGAGCACGAGAAAAGGAAGAGGAAACTTTTTACCTCGACCATGTTGTTTTCACCTTCCTGCCAGACGTAGCCCATCGTCATCATGCTGAGGGCGAGGTGGGCGAGCCGCAACTCTTTGTGTTTGCACAGAAAGCTGGTGCTCAGCAGTGGCATCTGTGCAGCGGTTGCATTCATGAACTATTTCACAATAACAGACATTAAACTCTTCTTATCAGTTTGTTGCCAACGCCACCTTTTACCTTGTCGACACGGGCACGCAGCTCATGACTGTGCACGAGTTCTGGGATACGCAGGGCAATATCTAACCATGGCTGGTAGTGAGGTGGAAGATCTTCCTGCAAGTGTTGCAAAAGTCATTGAAATAAAACAACAGTAACCAAATATATGACAGTAACAGAGCAATCGGATGTGGTGTCATGTAGAGTTTTAAAGCTTTACTATGTTGACAGGGATATTTTCAAAAATATTATTTTGAAAAAATGAGCTGCTTGTTGGGACAAAGGTTCCTGTAAAAAAATAAGCAACATTAAGCTTTAGCTTTTTAGAATGATTTGAGAATAGAGGGTAGACCTCATATTTTCTAACACTTAGATGTGACTCTTTATTTGTGTGTGCATGTGATCACTAAACTGCTCATTTCTCATTTAATGCCCTATTTTAAATTACACCCTGACACTTTGGCTTGCCTGGGTTCCAGCACTTTTCTTTGACTGTCTGGATAGTGATTGAAAAAAAATACACATCAGAAGAGTATTTTCACATACCAGTGGGTCTGGAAGGATAAAGCCCAAATCCTCAGAGACATGGTAAGAGTGCAGTGAGAAAGAGCCTCTGGAATCTGTTCCTGAAGAAGCCATAGAGAGAATGAGACAGGAAGGATCCTTTGACTGTCTGATTGGTGCAGGAGACTGAACTGGACTCTGACACGAGCTGTTGTCACCTACAGCTACTGCTTGCACAGCACAACATTTGTCCCTGACTTCCACTGTTGCCCAATTCTAGGGAAAGTGTGGAGCGAATCAATAATTAGCTTCACTTTGTGAATAATTTCCTTTAACTTATCATTCAGAATATTTAAGTTGTTCCATAAAAGCTAAATAACGTATCAAAAAGAAAAAAAAAGGGTTTTGTGAGGATATTTTACAATTACATAAGTAATTTTATGAAATAAATGGCCAAATATGTAAATGTATTACGCCTTTTGTTGCTTTTTAAACACTTGGAAGCATTATCAGTTTTTGAAAGCCTTTTTATTACAATTGGTAAAAGAGCAGAAAACAAATAAAAAAAGGTTAAAATAACAAAGAAAATGATTAATTGATGAAACAACATTTCCGAGAATAAAGTTGACGAGGAAACAGCGAAACGTTATCTCTGGTTCCCTTTAGTCATGTTTCAACAAAGTGGAACAAACAGTAGCTGAACACAGTAAACATGTCAAATGTTTAAACTAAAAAACTGATTTATCAAACATTAAAAAGGTAATTTGGAATCTAATGGTCCCCTCAAAAAGCTGGAATAGGGACAACAAAAGGCTGTAAAAGTAAAAGAACATTTTAGAGAGGCTGAATCTCTCAGAGCTTGGCAAAGAAAAAATGGGTAGAAAATGCCATCACATACAGTACACAAAACCCTTAAATATTTCTATAATCTGGAAAAATATCACAAAACAAGATAAATGTGGGTTGCTGTCAGATGTTTGTGATCTTCAGGTTTCAGAGGCCAGCGCATTAAAACTTGGTCTGATTCTGTTACGGACATCAATGCACGACCTCAGAAACACTTTCACAAATCAATAGTGACAAGCACAGTTCACTGTACCATTCCAGTTCTGCTTAAAGCTCTATCACACAAAGAAAAAGCCATCTTCTCAAAACCAAAGGTCCTTTACAATGGACTTTGACAAAATGAAGAACTATTCTGTGGTCAGATGAATCAAAATCTGTAATTCTTTTAAAAACCACAAACACCACATTAACTGTACTAAAAAGAGGACAAGGACATCTGGCCTATCATAAACACTCATCTCAAATGCCTGTCTGGATTTTTTTAGTGTGTTGCTATAAAATTCAAAATTATATATATATTTTTTTGTTTGGTTTTATTTTTACAAATGGTACAACTTTGTAAATATTTTATATGTTTACCGTGTTCCATGGTGAATAAAATATGAGTTTATGTTGAAATTTGAAAATCATTGTATTGTTTTTATTTGCTTTTGACACATCTTAACTTTTTTGAAGATGTAATCTCTGTCATCAAATGTCAAAGTTTTCTGAAGCAAACAGATTATACAATATTCCACATCCAGTCATCCAGTCCAATCCAATCAATATGAGGCTAATTTTATTACAGCTTTCACTTTATGTTTCCCACAGATTACATAATAATTGATTTATAAATACTGGACAAAGCTTGGTAAAATGTTTTGTCTCTTTATTTTCTTCTCAGACATAGTGTCATATGAAATAAAATCACAACTCAACTTCAAAAGTTCAGATATTCCAGAGTATGCCTGATCTTTTGTAATAAGTTGAAAAACATCTGGTTTCACAAATCTACCAGATTTTTTTTTATTTAACCAATGAAATAGACAACATGTTAATATGTGTGATTCTGAATCTGAACTGTAATTTCATTGTGCTCTGTACAATGACAATAAAGGTCTATCTTATCTTATCTTATCTTATCTTATCTTATCTTATCTTATCTTATCTTATCTTATCTTATCTTATCTTGATAAAGCCCAAATTTAGCACAATACTTTATGCACCTGAACCTGTTCTTTCTACCTCTTTGTGGGATGAGTGGTGTTATTTAGGGTTGGTGGTTGTGGTGAGCCAACTGTCAAACTTTCCCTTTCCCTTACTTTTGTTTTGTATTTAGTTGCTGGCAGATTAAATTTAAAGAGGTGTAACCGAAATGTTAAACACCACCACCACCTAGTGGATTATCCTGGTAACTGCAGGAACGACAGCGACTTTGACAGTTGATGAATAACACACACACACACACACACACACGCACAAGTTTAGGTCAGGTTTCAAAAACACGGTGTTGATACAGATCAGTCTGACTGAAGCATTTGTTTTATAATAGCTATAAATTGGTATTAAAATAAAAAGCTGCAAGATTTTGTGACGTGAACCTTTTGGTGTGTGCTGAAACTAAGTTCAGATGTACATTTTCATTGATAAATCAGTGCATTTCATCATAATCCACTGAAAAATTCAAACTTCATTTTCTTGACTTGAAAGTTGGCAGCTGTCTGGAGAAGAATGCACTGAATACAGACAAAAAGCGAAACAATAAAACTGTTTTTACATTTGAAGGGAACATATCATGCAAAATCCAAATTTTTAGCCATTAAATGCATTTTGTTGTTTACTCGGAGTAGTATTTTCTTATTGACATTGTTTAATTAATTTGTAAATAAATAAATAAAAGTATCTACTCCACTATATAGTTGTGAACCTGTCAAAACTAGGATGCTCTGGAAGCTGCAGAGGGGCAGGGTGTGAAGCTGGAGTGGATTAGAGACACACCTCTCATACTAGGGGTGAAAGAGGGGCTTGTGGAGTTACAATAAGGAGGAATTAGACCAAAGCATTGCAGTTCCACTTTATAGACCGCAAATGAATGGTTTAAAAGCATGATGTGTCCGCATTACATTTAGGGTTAACAAGGGCCTGATTCATCCCACGGGCGTGAGTTTGACACGTGTGAAATAAACCATTAAAAGCCCAGTTTCAATGAGATGCATGCCCTATGAATGTGAACAACCTCTGCCTGCAACTTTACATTTAGACACATGAGTCCTGAGCCACACCTGTCAGGCTCAACATGATCCAACAGTATTTGTTTATGCAAAAGTGTGTATTCCTTGGGCTCCTGTCTGGTGCAGGAAGACAGCCTTTATTTCTGTGAGCAGGACTACAAACTGCTCCCAGGTCGTGCATGCTCGTTGATGTTCGTGCAGGACCTGACAGCACCCTGCAGGCTGCTTTTTGGAGCTGTGGAAAGAGATTTGTTCGCCTTTAAAGTGGATCAGTGTTTTGTAATGAATGCCTCTCTTCCACTCCTCTGCGCCTATTATTAGCTACGGAGGCCTGTTAGGGTCACGGCGGCGGGGACGGCTTCTTCTTCTTCTTGACGGTCAGAGAGGGGCTGCAGCTCTCTGCGACGCAACATTTCACATCAAACGCAGTGACTCATCTTGCACTGGTCCAGAACTGGGTTTTATTTCCTCTCTTCCTGTTCTTTTTTTTATTTTTTTTCTTCTCTCCTTCGGTTTATTTTTCGAGGCTCTTTTGGAAAATGAAGCTAAACACGAGCCGCCGTCAGGTGCGAGCCGCATCCGAGCAGAGCGATGGTGGTGATGGAGCCGTGCTTTTCCTGGTCGCGTCCGTGGATAATGCAGCACTTCGTCATGTTGCGGTAAGAAGGGCGGCTTCGGTGCTTTAAATCCTGTCTGGTTTTAGAGATGGAGCCGCTGGGATCCCGGATAAACAGGCTCAGGAGTCAGTGACGGGCTCTTACATAACGTAATGCAGCAAAGCCTCATGACTTCAGTGGTGGAGGGACAGTTCCTGCTGGTAGGACAATTCAAACGCTTTTATTCTTACATTTATAACCAATTATATATATAAGAGATGCAAACATGTTTAGTATTTGCACGTTTCAGTTGTTTTACTTGTGTCGATTTACAAACCTTGTAAAAATGATTATTTGATTCGAGGATTGCGCATCGAACATGAATGGAAATTCAATAAAAGATGTGCATTTTTTATGTTTTATGCTTTACAGAGGCAGCTTAAGGTCACACTGTAAGAAGGTGCGAGTCAAGTCTGCAGGCACAGCTTCAATGGGGAGCCTGTTTTATGAATGACAACAAAGTAACTAATAGAAACTCAGTAGTTAGACATAAACACACTCTATAAATGAAATGTTGGATTTACTTAACCATGTTATGTGACCTGGTTCCACTTAACTGAGTTGAGTAAATTCAAAGCAACATGTTCTTTGGTTAAAAAAATTGGTATATTGCTTTGAATTTACTCAACTCAGTTAAGTGGAACCAGGTCACATAACATGGTTAAGTAAATCCAACATTTCATTTTTTACAGTGTACACTTAAAAAAAGACACAAATACAGTTTATGTAAAAAGGATTATTAGTCTAATAGAGGATGATTTCTCTTAATACGAGCAGTGCCTGATTTCATTCATGAGAGCAGAGAGAAAATTCAAACATGAATGCATTTTAAAACGTGTGATCTGTAAGGCATGACCTGTGATGCTGCAAACCCGAATGCAAATAAGGCCAAATGATTTGTTGGCTGTTTGAAGGTGTCTTTTGTAAAATTAACTGTTTCGGGTACTAAAATTATTGCTTGTATATCTAAAGGTTAAATAGCCCCTTTACCAGCTTCCTTTTCGTGGAAAGTGTTTAGTCTCTTAAAAGCAAACTCCTAAAATTTAATGCGTCTTTTCCTGACGTTGCAACCACAGCTGATTAAAGCGGCCTCACAGCTGGCTTTGAAGTCTGCATTTAAAACAGCAACCTTTGTCTGTGCGTGCCGGTCACTTTAAGAATCGGGGATTGGGAAGTTGTGAATGAGTGCAGAGAAGTCACAAGACCACCCATTGATATCTCTGCAGGCAGGCTGACCGAGCAGTGCAGATGTGAGAGCAAGAGACCGAGCACTGACCCGTTCAGACCTCTGGTTGGCTCTGATTCTATTTTTTTTTTCCTTTTATTTTTTCCCCTGTGAATCTTTTGCACTTTCACAGGCCCCACTTAGATTCTGATATGGACTATGAGAGGCCAAACGTTGAAACCATCAAATGCGTTGTGGTGGGGGACAACGCAGTCGGCAAGACCCGCCTTATCTGCGCCCGGGCTTGCAACGCCACGCTCACTCAGTACCAGTTACTTGCTACACATGTGCCCACAGTCTGGGCAATCGATCAGTACAGAGTATGCCAAGAGGTAAGTGGAGGATTTAAACTTTTTTTTTCTTTAACCTCTTATGTGATTTTAAATGATTTATTCTGAATGTTTTGTGTTTATTTCAGGTATTAGAGCGCTCCAGAGATGTTGTGGATGATGTCAGCGTGTCCCTTCGACTATGGGATACTTTTGGAGATCATCATAAGGACAGACGTTTTGCATACGGGAGGTGAGAAACTCAACTCTGCTGCTGATATACCAGGGCTAATGTAGCTTAGCTTATCTGACCTGTGTCTTCCTTTCAGGTCAGATGTTGTGGTACTGTGTTTCTCAATTGCCAATCCCAACTCTCTGTACCATGTAAAGACCATGTGGTACCCTGAGATCAAGCATTTCTGTCCCCGTGCTCCTGTCATCTTGGTAGGCTGTCAGCTGGACCTGCGTTACGCAGACCTGGAGGCAGTTAACAGGGCAAGAAGGCCGTTAGCCAGGTATTTTATCTGTCCATTTAGGATTTTCAAGGTTGTATGTCAGGAAGAATGAGTCAAATTTCCTTGTTCCTATTCTGCAGCTACTTTTGACTCGTTTTATTTTACTTGTTTTCAGACCTATTAAATCCAACGAGATCCTTCCTCCAGAGAGAGGCCGGGAGGTGGCCAAAGAGCTGGGAGTCCCATATTATGAAACCAGTGTCGTTGCTCAGTTCGGAGTCAAGGACGTCTTTGACAATGCTATACGAGCCGCTCTCATCTCCCGCCGCCATCTGCAATTCTGGAAATCTCACCTCAGAAATGTCCAGAGGCCTCTCCTTCAAGCGCCCTTCCTGCCCCCGAAACCTCCCCCGCCTATCATCACCGTGCCTCCGCCCCCATCCACCACGGAGGAGCGCCCCGTCGGCCTCCTGGAGGACCCGCACTGTGCTGACGTCCTCCTGGTCGTGCAGGAGCGACAGAAAATCTTTGCCCACAAGATATACTTGGCCACGTCCTCCTCGAAGTTCTACGACCTCTTCATCATGGACACGCAGAGCGAGGAGAGCGAGAAGCCCCCCCGGGGCCCCCTCTCCGGCCGAGAGCTGCTGATGCGTGCCGCCAGCTTCGACGTGTGCGAGAGCAGCGACGAGGGAGACCGGGCCAACTTGAGAGCGTGCACGAGTGACGGCACCTTGAGGGACTGCGAGGAGGGTCGGCGGGGCCGGCTGCTGTCTTCGTGGAGCCGGGCCTTCATCAGCATCCAGGAGGAGCTGGTTGACGACCCCGTGACTTACAGCCCCAGACTCATGACTGTAGTACACATGGACCAATCCATCCAGCTCAGTCCTTTTCGAGCTGTACTGCGCTACCTGTACACCGGTCAGCTAGATGAAAAGGAGAAAGACCTGATGCATATTGCGCACATCGCTGAACTGCTGGAAGTCTTTGATCTGCGGATGATGGTGGCAAACATCCTCAACAACGAAGCCTTCATGAATCAAGAAATTACCAAAGCCTTCCACGTGCGCCGCACAAACCGAGTCAAGGAGTGCTTGGCTAAAGGCACCTTTTCTGGTGAGTTTAAAGCTACTTCTGCTTAATTCAAGCAGACTTGGAACAGTTGGAAATAAGGTGTTACAATAGACTTGAATATAGATCACTAGACTGAGCCCCGCCCATCCTGTCCACTGGTAGAGTCTGTGACAACATGGAGGAGCAGAAACAGACCAAACAGGGCAACAGCTCACAGCCTCCATAGAGACTAATAGATAAAGAGCAGCTGAACCGGATCTGTCTCACAGATTATCGGTCATGTTTTTACAATAAATTAATAACTATGTTAATTTCATTCAACAATCATGTAAAACAGCTGATTTATACCAGAAAAAATATATCATTTATAAGTAACAATATCTAAACCAGACCTGAAGTCAGCCTGTAACTTAGACTTTAGCTAGCTGACAAATAATATTTCTTCTTACTGTCATAAAAAATAAGAATATTTATATTTACCAGTCAACAAATGTTCTCTGGTTATAGGATGAAACTTGTCTCTATTAACTAACCATCTTCTTAACATGTCAGGTTCCTCTAACAGAAACCTACATACTTACATTTACAATATTATTTTACACTGCGTAGGTCTAAATATTAATCCGAGGACAAATCATCTGTAATATTTAATAGTTTGTGTTAAATTGTAGCATGATTCAACAGTGTTAAACTCTGTATATATGCTCCACAAGCTAAAATCTGCTCAATAAATAACAGTGATTACATCGACTTTATAAGATTATTTTTTTTATTTTAAACTGTTACATTATGTTCTGCTCAGATCACATTGAGCTAAATAAGATCAAATCTGCTGACTCGTGTTGTAAAATGATATATTTTCCTGTTTATCTTCTGTTAATAAATCCATAACACAAACAGCTTTTCTGGCAGTATTTAAAACAGATAGATTATATGAACTGTAAAATATTAATAATAATTGGGTTCATATTATTATTAATATTTTTTATGATTTCTACATGGTCAGTCCTTTTTTTCTGCTCTGTTGTCAACATGTACAGGAATGGGAAATCCAGACTCTTGACCGTTTTGCGTTAGCCGTTAGCTTCACCAGCCGATTACATGGTCACATGGTTTCTGCGCTCTCCAGCTGTTCTATATAAAATCCTTGGGTGTTACAGTGACTTAATATGTTTTTGCAGATGTGGTCTTCAAACTGGATGACGGTTCGATCATGGCCCACAAACCATTGCTCATCTCTAGCTGTGACTGGATGGCAGCTATGTTTGGTGGACCTTTCGTTGAGAGCTGCACCAAGGAGGTAAGTCCAGTACAGGCCTAAACATATTCATTTTTACAAACACTGTTTAAATGTTCCAGTTTATTCCTTTACCAGTGCACCAAGACAAATACCAATACATGTGTTGATTTTAGCAAAACTCCAAAAAACAAGGTGTGCAAATTATACTTCAGTTAGTGGATTGCAAACCAGTTTTAGTCAATCAAACTTTGTGATTCAAACATACTGTAGATCTGTGAGTTATGCAACTTTCTGTTTTTACTACTTTGACAGGAAATATGAGTACTTGATAATAAATCACGCAAAAAAAAACTTCTGCTGTTTTGCTAGGGTAGGCTAAAACATCTATATATACACTCACCGGCCACTTTATTAGGTACACCACGCTAGTAACGGGTTGGACCCCCTTTTGCCTTCAGAACTGCCTCAATTCTTCGTGGCATAGATTCAACAAGGTGCTGGAAGMATTCCTCAGAGATTTTGGTCCATATTGACATGATGGCATCACACAGTTGCCGCAGATTTGTCGGCTGCACATCCATGATGCGAATCTCCCGTTCCACCACATCCCAAAGATGCTATATTGGAYTGAGATCTGGTGACTGTGGAGGCCATTTGAGTACAGTGAACTCATTGTCATGTTCAAGAAACCAGTCTGAGATGATTCCAGCTTTATGACATGGCGCATTATCCTGCTGAAAGTAGCCATCAGATGTTGGGTACATTGTGGTCATAAAGGGATGGACATGGTCAGCAACAATACTCAGGTAGGCTGTGGCGTTGTAACGATGCTCAATTGGTACCAAGGGGCCCAAAGAGTGCCAAGAAAAGATTCCCCACACCATGACACCACCACCACCAGCCTGAACCGTTGATACAAGGCAGGATGGATCCATGCTTTCATGTTGTTGACGCCAAATTCTGACCCTACCATCCGAATGTCGCAGCAGAAATCGAGACTCATCAGACTAGGCAACGTTTTTCCAATCTTTTCTTGTCCAATTTCGATGAGCTTGTGCAAATTGTAGCCTCAGTTTCCTGTTCTTAGCTGAAAGGAGTGGCACCTGGTGTGGTCTTCTGCTGCTGAAGCCCATCTGCCTCAAAGTTCGACATGTTGTGTGTTCAGAGATGCTCTTCTGCCTACCTCGGTTGTAACGGGTGGTTATTTGAGTCGCTGTTGCCTTTCTATCAGCTCAAATCAGTCTGCCCATTCTCCTCTGACCTCTGGCATCAACAAGGCATTTCCGCCCACAGGACTGCCGCTCACTGGATGTTTTTTCTTTTTCGGACCATTCTCTGTAAACCCTAGAGATGGTTGTGCGTGAAAATCCCAGTAGATCAGCAGTTTCTGAAATACTCAGACCAGCCCTTCTGGCACCAACAACCATGCCACGTTCAAAGGCACTCAAATCACCTTTCTTCCCCATACTGATGCTCGGTTTGAACTGCAGGAGATTGTCTTGACCATGTCTACATGCCTAAATGCACTGAGTTGCCACCATGTGATTGGCTGATTAGAAATTAAGTGCTAACGAGCAGTTGGACAGGTGTACCTAATAAAGTGGCCGGTGAGTGTACATGTAAGCTGTTATTTTAAATTCAAAAGTTAAACGTAAGGACCATTTTTTGAAACACAATGACCTGTTTTCAGATCTGAGTTCATCCTTTGTTCCATCACTGCTGCTTCAGTGAAATTAGTTACAATTGTAGAGTAAATTATTTTGTTTTTACTTGAGTCGTGTCACTTATGTCCATACAAATATAAAAATGACACTTCTATTCAATCGTTCATTTAAAAAGAAAAACTTAAATATCCATGTCTTTTGTGCTCCTTCCTTTTTAAAACTTCTATCCTAAAAAGGCTCAGTATTGATCCCAAATAGTAAAATCATCAGCTGATCTTTTGTTAAATGTGTAATTATGTGTAATCCAAATATTTGGTATTATGCAAATCAATTACGTGGTGATTCTGATGGATTTTGCCACTCTAGGAGACACTAACCACCAACATCTTTGAAACTAAATGTCCCGTGTTGTGTTTCTGTTTTCAGGTGCTGCTCCCCAACACAACTCGCAGCTGTATGAGGGCTGTTCTGGAATATCTCTACATGGGAAGGTTCTGCTCCCGATCTGACTTGGATGCGATGGAGCTGATTGTTCTGGCCAATCGTCTTTGCCTCCCCCACCTTGTTGCTCTCACAGGTAGCAAGCTACAAGACATTATTATACAAAAAATAAATAAATAAAACATTTTCATCTGTGCTTTCAAGTCAACCACTACTGTAATCATTTTCTGGTTCATTCGTTTTTTAGAGCTTTACACGGTGACAGTATTGACGGAGGCGGCCATGATGGGAACTGACATTGATGGTGATGTGCTGTTATACCTGGACATGGCCCAGGTACTGTCGCTTGTTCCAAATAAAATTGCTCCTTAATCCTGTAATTTTGCCTTGACTATATGAATATTTATTATGAAGGCCAGTTCTCAGAAACATTTGCTGTGCAGGGTGAAATAATCTTTACAAACAGCAGGTGGCGCTAAATGCCTGAATGAAAGTCAAGTTTTTTTTGTTTTTTGTTTTTTTTCTCATTTCACATTTCAAGTTATTTGGTCATCTTGTATTATTTTTACCTTTAACTTCACTTCAGCAGGAAGGCTAAATTATCAATCAGGCAAAAATTACACATTTATTTTAAAACTATTGGATCGGTTATTAGTTTTGTTCCTAATAACATAAAATGTGGTCAACTAAAAACAGTACTTTTGGTAAAGCCATGTCAATTAGCACTAATAGTAAAAGACATTTGTTGTATTTGCTTTTATTTCATTTTTACCAATCTCAGAGACACTGTATATTTTTATGGGGCTATAATAATGTCAAAATGCAGAATGCTCTTAGTTAAAGTGAGTTTATCTAATCAGGTAAATCTTCTCTATGGGCACTAATTATGAATGGTTTTTTTTATCAAATATGAAAAAAAAAAACTACTTCCATTTATAAATTTATATTTTCTGGTTCAAAAACATCTGGTTCGGCACAAAAGTGACATCTGTATTTTGATTGCAACAGTTCCATGGTGCCCAGCAGCTCACAGGATGGTGTCTGCACCACATCTGCACCAACTACAACAGCGTCTGCCGCAAGTTTCCCCGTGAAATGAAGGCAAAGTCTCCAGGTGATATATGTGCAGTATATATATGATCTGCAAGCATTGTAATGCTATTTGATGTTTTTTTTTATTTCTACTGAATATTCAGCTAATTTCCATACTGTATCAGGTTCTCTCTCACTCTGTGAGGACAGTTTTTTATGTCAAAATATTTAAGGACATTTCCACCTTATTAAGCCGAATTATATCCATTTACAGTTAGAAATGTATTTCATTAAAGGTTACTTCCTGCACTATACTGATATGACCAATAATCCATAAAACTTGTATGTTTTTTCATTTTTTTAATGAAAACCTGAAAATTGGAGTTTTGAATCAATCAATCAATCAATCAAAAATACTTTATTGATCCCAAATGTAAATTGCGTAAAAAAATTAAAATTAAAATTTGGCACAACACGACACATGTAATGATATATGTCTTGAAATTGTGGAAACAACTTTTTCTGTGACAGAGAACCAAGAGTACTTTGAGAAACATCGCTGGCCACCTGTTTGGTACCTTAAAGAAGATGACCACTACCAAAGAGCTCGCAAAGAGCGGGACAAGGAGGACTACCTGTACCAGAGACGGCAATGTAAACGCAAGTGGCTCTTCTGGAACCTTCCTTCCTCCCCAAACTCCAACTCTCCATCTGGCTCTTCTGCCATCATCTGACCATGCGGTAAGGGCAGGACCAGTGTGTGCAAGACAACGGTGGACAATCAGCTCTGCTTGCTTTGTGTGCCCAAATTATTCATCCAGACTGTTACTGTCCTGCATTTGCAGGCAAACAACACCTCAGCATCCAGATTAAAATGAAGCATTTTGTTCCTTTAGAGTTGAAACGTAACGTATAAAAAGACACAAACCTCAGTGATGTGAACTTTACCAACATATGGCTCAGTGTAAATTGTAGGTATATATATTAAAAAAGGACTACTGGCACAAAACTTTCCACCACTTGTCTGATAAAGTGCTGCTACCAGCTGCAACAACCAGCATTCAACACTGAACAGAAGTCTCAGAGATGTAACACTTTGCCTTGAAGTGTTTGTACAATCTGCCAAACTCTGTACAATATGATCTCGCGAACAGGATGTAACAATAGCTGGGCCTCGCTAGTCGTAGAAGTCATTCATTCAGGTTTTAATATAATCATGTTTGCATAAACTGTGGTGGGGGGAGGCAATTTTAGTTTATTTTGTACATGCATTCATTTTTCCAGTATTCTTATGAAGCTTGTAAAGCAAAAGTTGTGTGACCTAATATGTTCAACATTTAATATTTTAATTTTGTTGACGGTGGCTCGTTGTCACAAAAGGGCTTAAGTTCACATCAATGCTTTCAGCGTCCTACGACAAAATATTCTAGACTAAAGAAATTAAAGAAACAAAATGAAATCCTAATATGAGGCTTACTAGCATATGTAATCCTTTATGTGCAGTCGTGTCATTAACTGGTTCATTCATCACAATCACTGTCATCCTGAAAAGCAACTTGAAATGTGTTTATTTTTTCCGAGTGCATTCAAGCCCAAGTGGTGTTACTGGTTGGGTATGGACCGTTGGACAAGCTGGATGCTTCTTCATGTCCGAGTCAAGTCTCTTAAGTGTTCATCCAGTATTTTCTGAAGTCTACAGAGACACATAAAAACTTCCAACCACAACATACAAGTAAAGAGCATACAATCAACAATACGACTAAAGGAACGGGAGACCGTGACATTTGAAGAGAAAAAGTTTATAAAAAAAAAACAGGTGTAAAGATCAAACATCTCTTGATTTGCTACATTTTTTGTATCATTTACCTTTATCGTAATTGATTGTAGGATGCATAATTGTTTGGGCTGATAGGCAAGAAGAAAACTAAAAAAAAATCATGTAAAATATCAGAATACCTGCAAATAACTTGCCTCACTCTTATATGCTGTTTCACTGCAGGCAGTGGGCAGAATCTTACAGTGTTACTGAGTAAAACAGTCTAAACTCGACTGATCAGACTTGTATTAACTGACTGTGCAGCTTATTGTTGTTGAACTAATAATACCTGTTGTACTAATTTCCAGGTACCTCTGTTACAAACTTTAGCATAGGTGCAAATCATCAATTTAAAGTAAGTGTTGACTAATTGTAAAATAGGACTGTTGTGCAAAGTGAAGTAGACATTGTCACAAATTACGTTAAAACTGTAAGGTAAATGCATAAACCATTCTATTGTCATCAGCATTTAATTGAGCAGCATAAGATAAAGTAAAGCTTGTCAGTTGTTGAAGTTAAGGTACATCTTTTCTTGTCTAAAATGTATTAAAACCTCTCGGCGAGCTTAAAGGGATAAAGTATTATAATATAAATGTGACAAATTTTTTTCATGTTTTCCACTTAATCTTAACTCATGACTCTATATCCAAACAGATTCTTTGATATCGTTTAATGGAAAACGTAGATAATAGCTTTAAAGTGCTTGTGACGTCAACTTATCCTGAGAAATACAAATACATTTTTAGAAAGATAACATGAACAACATATTGCAAAATAAAAATTCACGCGGCTGAGATAAACAGTTGAGATATTCACACGCCCAGTAACAGGAAGTGACGACAAAGAGGAAGGTTTGTATGTAAACAGAGCAAACAGACGGAGAAGGGTCAGTGGAGGTATAAACAAAGACCAAGGAGTTTCCTTTTTTAAGAACTTACCCTTTGATGTCACTTCCTGTTTCATTAAAAGAAATATGGCAGTTATGTGAAAAAAATGAGTAAAATCACATGTATTGTGCCTAATTACTTGTCTATTGCAATGTTTTTTTTTCCTTTTTTGTATTTGTAGGAAATACGTCAGTCACTTTAAACTTTAAACACAATATTTCTATAATGCTTTGTTTCCAATGATTTGTCCTTTAAAATCACTGTACAAATATTTTTGACAAAGATGTTCAGTCATCCGAAGCTTTGAGACACTTTTGAGTATTCTAAATGATTTCAGAAATAATTCATGTCAAATCAACACGAAAAATAGTTACATGTAGTTAATTATTTGCAGGAAGGGGTACAGTTTCTACAGTATAATTTGCCTAAGTGAGACTGCTAAATCTTTAACAAACATTTCATTCCGTAGTGCATTGCATTTCTCAGTGATTCTTCAACACCTCATGCCTTAATGTACAGCGTACTACAGTTCATGGTGTTGAATGTTAAGTAGTGTTACTGTGGTCACTAGTTTGTTTGCTATATCTTTATAAAGTGCCATGGTGCTCTGTAGGCTGTGTGTGTAGTTGTAAATGTCCACAATCCATCATTTGGATGTAGAGGAACCAGTAGGCAGGATTTGGTTGTAGGAGTTTGATGAGTGTGTCTTTGTTTAACGTTTTTGTCATTAAAAACATAGAAAACAATTTACAGACTTGTGTCAACAAGGCCAGACAATTAAAAAATGACAAATGATCAAATTGTGATGATGAATATGAATTTATTGCAGGATTTTTGAATCAGTTTAGCTGTTTTAAAGTTTCCTTAATGAGTTCCAGCTTTTTATTCTGCAAAGTGCTGTTAGACAAGTTACTGAAATATGTATATATTTATTGTGTAGTGACCTTTAGCAATTCAAACTTGACATTGCAATTGATATAAGCTGTTGCATAGTTTAAAACAGACCCTGTTTTTTTCTATGCATATTCAAATGCAAACTTGCACTGCTTTGTAGCGCTGGTTCTCCTCAAAATGCATCAAAGCGCATTGCAAGATGATTAAAAATAAAATTAACATCAGGTATGAATAAGATGAGACTGAAACTTACAAAAAGAGTTTTTACTGGGACCCATTTTTCCCCTTACGTTTGGGTGCTATAACAGCTGCAGAGAAGCACAAACCAAAGGGAGCTTTAGCAGCACCTGGACTATAAGGTAAATGCTGCACAATCACCACTGCATAGATCATGAGGCCTTGCTCAAAAGAATGGGGAAAATTAAATAGTATACAAACGGGGAATTGAAAAAAAATGAATGTTTTCATAGTGTTTGAAGCCTGACAGACATTTTACATGATGTCCAGGTAATTTTGTTGTAAACAAAAAATAAGTTTTTATTGTTTAGAAGCATCTGAATTTCTGTAGCATGTGTTCTTGAAAATGTGTAAATAATGTTTCATTAAATGAATAAACATGTACAGGATGAGTTTGGCGCCGGTTCTGTGTTTTGTTTTGTTTTTTTAGTGATGTCACCTGAAACTTCTGCAGCTCCTCAGCTGGGTCCTGTAGAGCGCATGCGCAGTGAGAGCGTCTGACCCCGAGGAGCAAACCTGCAGACAAACACGAGAGCAGCACCTTAAAAATGGTAAGAACTAATTAACACTGCTAATATGTTGCTAAGTTAAGTAACTTAAGCGTGTGAGGCTGTATTTAGCCGCTGCATGGTAGCGTCGTGGGCACTTCCTAAATTGTCGCGTCGACGGAAAAACTAACAAAACAAACGTGATGGCGAAACTTAGAGTGAGGCATTTATTTATTTATTTATTTATTTATTTATTTATTTATTTATTTATTTATTTA